TCTAATTACCTATATGTGATTATATTATAACCATCGGGAATAAAAAAAAAAAAATTTCTGACTTGTTTTTTTTTTTATGTGTGTCGTTCTATTACTCCATCTCATCGTAATAATAATAATAATAATATTTTTACGATATTTATATAATAATAAAAATAAAAATATTACAATCGTGAAAATAATAATAATAATAATAATTTCATATTTTTTTTATGCAACCATCAATCAATTTTTTGCCATTTTTTTTTCGGTTTTAACATTTAAAAAAAAAACCGTTTTTGTTACGAAAACATTAATAATAAAATAATTAATTTATTTATTATTATTATTATTAATAAAAAAATGAAATGTTATGATGAAAAAGTGTTATTTTAGTTTAAATTGTATTTAGTATTATTATTATTATTATTATTATCGCCACTGACGTAATAAAATCGTTTTTTTAGTCGATTTTCAATTTTGTGATTTAAAAAAAGTCTTAAAACTCTCCATGTTTTTATGATAACTGGAATGATAAGATCAAACGAATTAAGTGCTTTGTCAGTTAATCATTCGCCATTTCATTTCAACGGATTCAACGGTGAGTCGACAAACAAACAGACAAACAAACAAACAAATTTTTTTAATTTTATATCGATTTATTAAACAAACGACTTTATTTTGATTTCGTAATCTCAGAGAGAGAGAGATTTTTTTCCCAAAGGAATGAAAATATTTCTTAAAAAAATAACCCAAAAGCGAGAATATTTTATCATCATCATCATCATCATCCTTGCGCACGCGCACGTGAGTTTTGTGTCAATTAATAAAACAATTACCTAATAAATTACCTGGGGTCAAGCCTAAACGTATAAACAACAAACACGCATGCAAACAACAATCAAAGCCGTTTAATCTATTACCTCGGTCAGTCAACCAATATATATAATAATAATAATAATAATAATAATGATTTCACGTAGGATTTTAATTAGAACTTTGTAAAAAAAAGATGATGATGATGGTTCGTTGCGGAATTTTTTTTTTTTTTGTAAATTTCACAAGAAAGAGGTGAAAGCCTTTTTTTTTTTGTGGGGAGGGAATCTTATTCTCCTCTCTCTCGTTCTCAACCTAAAAAAAATTTCTTTTTTTTTTTACTTCTTATGTATGTGTACCTCGTAATTAATCAAACTAATAACAATCTCGGTAATTTAATAATTTTCTTTTTTTGGTCATTTTTAAATTTTAAATTGCATTCGAGAAGCTTCCGGAATTTAAAAATTAAAAAGAAAAGATGCGTTCAAATCCGTTACTAACGTTTCGAGGTACGAACGAGGTCAATAAACATTTTTAATTTTTTTTTTTTTTTCGGTTCATACAAATCATCATCATTATTTTTTTTTTTTGAGGGAGAAAGAGGGGAAAAGGGGGTAGGAACGGGAAGAGCGGAGGGGATAAATTAACGTTTTTTTTTCTCTTTTTTTTTCCTTTTTTTTTTATTTCGTGAATTCGAGTAAAAGAAAAATAAAAAAAAAATTTTTTTAATCGATGCGTCACTTTTTATTATCATTTTAATTTTTACATAATATTTATAATAGCCTATTAAATAAAAATTATTAATGATGATAATAATAATTAATAGTTGAAATAAAAATAAATACAAAAAGGAGGGAAGAACAAAAAAAAACAAATCAAAGTAAATCGATTTAGTTTTTTTTCGTATACAACGTCAATAAACGACGAACCATTTTTATATTTACTCTCTCTCTCTCTCTTTCTCTCTCTAACAAACAAACCTAGTTGTTATTATTTATTGAATCCACATTATTTAAATAAAATAAAATAAAATAAAAAATTTTGAATTATCTTTGTAGTAGCGATCTTGATTCCGATTAATTCCAACAACCGAAAACATTTTTTTTTCTCCTCGCGTTTTATTATTATTATTATTATTACTATTCGTACCTGAATTTCCCATCATTTTAACTTTTAATTATTATAAAAAAAAAAAAAAACTTTTATGTCGTTAAACTGAAAAAAACACGCGCTCGCGTTTTCATTTAATTTAATTTTTTTTTTTTAAATACGTAAAAAGTTTTTCTCCCTTTTACCAAATGTAATAATAATAATAATATTAATAATAATAATAATAATAATAATAATAATAATAATAATAATAATAATAATACTAATAATAATGATAATAATGATAATAATTTAAAATTTATTCAAATGGAAAATATCACCTCACTTATTTTTAAATAAAAAAAAAAAAGATTTCATTTTAATTAATTAAATGCGGTCGTTAATTTTATTTAAAAAAAAAAAACAAAATGGCGTCAACATGTTAATTATTTATAATAAATAATGTGACATTTTATATACCGCGACGACGACGTCTTTTTTTCTTCTACAACTCTTTAATAATTAAAAAAAAATCGTTAGTATATTAATAATAATAATAATAATAATAATAATAATAATAATAATAATTAATAAAAAACATTAAAATCATAGCAGAAGAAGAAAAAACAAAAATGGCGTTAAAATTTTTCTTTTTATTTACGTAACATAATTAATCGGAATAAAATAGCCTAAATAAAAAAAAAATTTTTTTTATTTTTTTTTTTAACCATTATTTATTTAGCAGAATGATTTTAATTTAGTAGACGCCTCGAGTAATTTTCTACTAAAAAATTATTAACCTATTAATTACTTTTTTTTATTTATTTTTTATTTATTTATTTTTTTGATGATAACATTATGGCAAAATTATTTATTTATTTATGTATTCTCTCGTTGGTTTAAAAACGACGACGCTTTTTATTTCATAATTATCAACCGATACTTTGCTCTCTATATATTTAATAATAATAATAATAATAATAATAATAATAATAATAATAATAATAATAATAATAATAATGATAATAAAACGGGTACTTGCGACCAACTTAAAAAAATTATTATAATTAATTTAAATAATAATATTATAAAAATTAAATTTTCTCTTTCTCTCTCTTTGAATTAATTAATACGTTAATCATTTAATAATTATATATTTAGGTAATCAATAAGAGAGAGAGAGAGAGTCGATATATATTATTATTATTATTGGAGTAATTTTTTTTTTTTTACGTAGTTTTGATTCGTAATAATAAGTGTAACAAAATGTAAGGCCGTGGGAAAAATAAATCTCATACTCGTTTTTTTTTTTTAAAAGATGGTACATTAATATATCACTTTTTAACCTGGAGAATTTTATATATATATAATATATAATATATACGTTTATATTATACCTGTATATTATATAATATAAAAAGTGCAAAGATATGCATAAAACCGGATATTTTGAAACGTTTTGTGATTTTGCCTTTGGTCATCGTGTACGGCAACGTACGGCAAAATGTTTCTTCTTCTATAAATACCTGAAACGACAAACGAGATATTTTACACATCCTTAAACCACCACTACCACTACCACCACCACCACCACCACCGCCATCATCGATTATCTCCTTCGGGCTAAAATCTTCGTACCTGATCTCGTTTGCGGTTCAACTTTTTTTTTCTTTTTTTTAAACTTCCTTTCACGAAACTCACTCATATCGTATCAAAGTTTTTTTTTTTTTTTTTTTTTTTACTTTCCTCGTCGACCTAACTAACCCCTGTGAATTATTATTATTATTACGTAAAAAATTTTTTTTTATCACATATAAAAAAAAAAACAACTCCGTTCACTCAATTTATTTTATTTTAATTATTATTATTATTATTATTTATATATCGACACAATGTTTAACACTTTTCGAAAAAAAAAAATTTAATTCGGTTATTATCATCATCATCATCATCATTGCATTTATCTAACGATGTTTGAATTTTAAAGGAAATTTTTAAAAAGTTTTTTTTTTTTTATACATACTTTAACTATTATTATTATTATTATTATTATTATTATTATTATTAAGTCTAATTAATTACCGGGTAATTTTTTAATCAACTCTAGGAGTTGAATTGAAATTTTTACCTTTTTTTTAAATCTTGTTTTTGCCATTAATTTAGGTGCAAATTCTTTTCTTCTACCAAATTATTATCATTATTATTATTATTATTATTATTTACTTCCTTTGACTTTAATTTTTATATCTCACTTAATGTCAAAGAAATAAAATAGAGAGAGAGAGAGAGATATTTAATGTGGAGAAAGCACTGGAGCCGTAACGACGACGACGACGACAATTATTTAAAAAAAAATTCCTTTAATAGTCACTTTGGTCTTTTTTTTTTTTTCTTTTTTTTTTGCTTTTTTTTTTGCTTTTTTTTCTTCCCATTCATTTTATTTTGGGGCACTTTCATTCAACAACCAACAACAAAGAAGGTAATAAAAAAAAAAAAAGCGGAAATTTTAAATGCGATAAAAACGATAAAAAAAAAAAATTACTTTAAAGCATTACGTTGCAAATTTTTTTTTTTTTTTTTTTTTTTTTATATATAGAAAGTAATGATGGCAAAAAAAAAGTGTGAAAAATAAAAAAAAATATAATTTTTTTAAAAAGTAAAAAAAAAAAAAAAAATTAAAAAAAACGAACGACTGGGGACACGAAGGGGCACAATGAGGGGGCACGATGGACACGAAGAAGTTTTTAAAAAAAATCGATATTTTTAACTGTTTCTTAACGTGATCGTTCCTTCGAAAAAAAAAACTCATCGTTTCGTAACATTATTATTTTAAATTAATTATTATTATTATTATTATTATTATTTATAAGTAATATTATTATTATTATTATTAAAATGCGTTCGTGCGTGCGTGCGTGCGTAACGTTCGTGATTTATTTTGATATGTTTTCGAGATTTCGTTATATTACGTAAATAAAAATTTTCTTTTTTTTTTAAATAAATAATAATAATAATATTAAATTTATCCGTTAAAATTATTTTATTTATTTATTATTAAAACAAAATGGCGGTGAAATTTTCCTACTTTAAAAAAAAATATTTTTACAGGTGAGGGTATGGTGAGCCCCAATGACGGAAGAACTGTCCCAAATGATAAAGGGGCAAAGATGCAGACGTCACTGGCAGCTGCCCCACGTGTTCGTACCACTGAAGATCATTCCAAGTTAAAATTACCATTTCCACCAACAAACAACGGTCTCATGATGGAAGTGGTAAGTTTTTATTTATTTCTTTCTTTCTTTCCTTTTTTTTTTTTTAATAAAAAGTTTTTTAGAGAAAGAAATAATACCATCGGTGGAAAAATTTAAAAAAAAAAAAAAATTAAAGGGATGTTTTACTATCATTTTTCAAATGCCAATTAATTCGAATATATTTTGTTCAGAAATGGTTTTTTGTAAAACATAATTTTTAGGTGTCAGAATTCGAACAGACAGACAAATCATTTTGGGTACCTAAAAATTAAGAGGCAGATGGGCAACCACGCCTTTTAATTTTTTTTTTCTTTTTTCTTTGGTCAACTTTTTCTTCTTCTTCTTCTACTTCTTCGGCAGCTGCTATTATAGATCAATAAAAAAAAAAAAAATTTCTTATATGATTTGTTGGCATTTACGTTTTTACGTTCAAAAGGATTCTTGTTGTTAAAAAAAAAAAAAATGTTTGCGTCATTTCTTTTTTTTTTTTGTTAATAATAAAAACGTTGGCATCCGATTTTGTTAATGAAAAAAAAAAAAAAAAAATTAATTTAAAAGCCAGAAAGAAAAAAAAAAAAAATTTCGAGACATTTTTCCCGTTTCCATTTGAAAAACCACTGAAAAAACTATTTAAAAAAATCACCTTTTTTTTTGAGTGAAATTTTTGGCACGAATCGTCACATTATAAAAAGATATAATTTTATATATTTATCATTTGATAAAATTAGTTTTTCTTACGAGAAAAATAAAATGATAATTTTTTATTCTCGATAGAAAATAATCCATCAGCCATTATTTTCATCAGTTTTATTGATGCTGTCATCATCATCGTCGTCGTCGTATTCCTTTCTTCCTCCATCTTTAATGTTTTTCCCGTCATGAATTTTCCTGATTAACCATTTCCATCGAAATATCCACGATGATATTTTTCCACCGATTACAAACGCATTTATATGAAAACCGAAAGAAAAAAAAATGGCGGTGAAAATTGACTGACGTCATTGTAAGATTTGTGCCTTTTTTTGGGGGGAGGAGGGGGTTTTCCTAACCATCACCGGTCAAGTAGTTTTAAATTGTTGTGTTCATAAAAAAAAAGATGTTTCAACCTCGAGGATGTTTCAAACGCGAAGCCGAGTTAAAAAAAAAAAAAATAAATACAAAGGTAGCAGCATTTATAATGAAATGTTTCTTTACTAAGTGATTGTCTTCTCTTGTCTGGTTACGCCCAATTACAAAGACACCGAGACCAATCGTCCACATACCAGGATACCTGACACACACACACAACAAACACAACCAAACACAAATACAAACATTCGATTCTCTAATATTTAACTTATTATTTATTTAATTTTTTCTTTTTTGTTGTTGTACAAACGTAAAAGAAGAATAGGTAAAAAAAAAAATCGAGTTCGATAGTAAAAAAAAAAAAGGAAAACACAGTGAGAGAGAGAGAGAGAGATGGAAATATCGAAATAACATATTGAGCAAGTCAAAATTAAATTTTAAGAAATCGATTTTACCATTTTTTGACGCGCATACAAACACACACACACAACAAAAACATTGGAGGGAGGGAAACAATTGTCTGTTTGTTTGTTTGTTATATGACATTTTAACGATAAGATTCGTGATGTTTGGCAAATGTCATTTGAATTTATGTTTTTTTTATTAACTTTCTAAAAAAAAAAAATTCTAGAAAAAGGGGTTTGTGTTTGTGTTCCCAGTCACGTGTAGTGTTGTATATACACATTATTCGTTGATATTTTCCATCTTCTCCCCCAAGCCCTACCCCTCCTTTCCCCTTCGAACGTAATATAAATAACAAATTTCATCGTTTAAAACTTTATTATTATTATTATTAGCGTTACCTGTTCTTAAAAAAAACGATGCCGACATAAACGCGCGCGTTCGTAAAAACATACAATTATGTTTGAATGCGAAAAAGAAAATTATTTATTTTCCTTTTGGACATTTCTGGACAAAAAGGGTTGATGATGATGATGATGACGAGAGGACGACGTTTTTTTTTTTTTAAATTATAGTCGTTTCATTTTTCAAGGTCAACGTGAGACATTTAATTTACATATATTATAAAAAAAAAAAAAAAAAAGGAAAATGTTGCGATCCTGTTTTTATGTTTTGACATCGCCGAAGGGTGGACAAAAAAAAATTTTTTTTTTTTTTATGGATTCGTTGGGTCAAAAAGGTTTAAATAAAATTAATTTAAAAAACAAAAAAAAAGAATAAATTTTTTAAAGATTGTAATCGATGCCAAATCGGAAAATTTTTTTATTATTAAAAGAAAAAATTAATAAATTATTAATATCAATTTAATTTTTTTTTTGTTTCGTGTTTTTTTTCATTTAAAAAAAAAATGTTTTGTTTTGGTGTTTAAAAGAAAGAAAAAATGAAAAACTCCCGGAGAAAATAACAAAAACAACAACAACAACAGCTAAATATCAAATTTCTAAATAGAAAAAAAAAATTTTTGGTTTTTTTTTTTTTTTCAAGTCACGAATACGTGTAACAAAACGGAAATTTCATTCATTTTCAAATATTTAAAAGCAGAAGAAAAAACAACAAAAATATATTTCTCATATTGTTTCTAAATTTGCATTCAAAATGGCTGACATTTACATAAAAAAATTTTTTTTATTTAATATTATGTTTTCATTGCAAAAAAAAAAGTTTGAGAGTACAAAAACCTTCGATTGAAACGATCGTACCTTGTTTGTATCAATACCTAAAAACTTTTTAAAAAACAACTGATGGCACATGTTGATTTCATGTTGTTTTTCCAGGCACTCTCGACTCCTCCTGGACAAAAAAAAAACTTTTTTGAATCGATATTGAGAATCTTTTTAATAATTTTTCCGTGATTTATTTATTTTATTTAAAAAAACGTAGATATGTAAAAAAGATTGTCCATAATCCTCCAGGGTTCTTTGTTTGTTTTAAATTCTTCCACGCGATTTTTCTTGTTTACCAAAAAAAAAAAAAAAATTGTTTGTGGTTGTTGGTTGTTGTAAAAGGTTTTAGTTTAGGTTTATTTTCGAATCAGTAATGCGAAAAATAATTTTATTACGTAATTAATAATATTTACCCGTTAAATTATGTTTAAAAAAACAAAAAAAAACTTTTTGTTTGTTGTTTGTTGTTGTTGTTGTAATAATATTAATTATAAAGTATAATAAAAGATATCAAATATTTTCGAAACAGTCATTTTTTTATTAAAAAAAAATTAAAATGGCGGAACGATTCATAAATAAATATAATTTTAAAATTTAGATATATATATATAAATATAATGTTTACAATAATCGTGTTTTTTATTTATATTTTCATCATTATCATTATTATTATCATTAAAATAAATATTAATAAAACAACCCTTTAAGCGTTAAACATGATAATAATAATAATAATAAATTTTCGTCATTTTTATGTTGACATTAGGGGGTTTTTCATTTTATTCAATTTTCTTTTTCTTTTTTTTTTATTTTGTACATAAAAATTTAATATATTATTATTATTATTATTATTATTATTATTATTATTATTATTATTATTATTATTATTATTATTATTATTATCAATATGAGATAATGGGAGGTAATAAAAATTATCGTTGTAATAATAATAATAATATTATTACGATTAATAATAATTAGTATTTGAATAATATTATAAAACGTAATTTTTATTACCCGCCGGCGAGTGTTAATTAAATTGTGTGATTTATTATTATTATTATCATTATTATTAATAATAAATATTTTGTTTTTGTTTAGTGGGCGTCTGTCGCATCATGGTTTTTCAGACCGGATGCCGCTCATCCACCATTTCCGCCGGGGGGACCATTGGCGGGAAATTTACCAAATATTAGGGGTGGTAGCTCACCTCGGCCTTCCGTAACACGATCTGGTAGCGAACATGGAAGGCATTTTTCAATGGCGCCAACTATTTGCACGGTAAGTTAAACATTATTATCATCATCATCATTATTATTATTATTATTATTATTAATTTTAAGGTTTTGTCGAATAAAACTTTTTAAAAAAATTTTATTGTTTAAATTATAAATAAAATTTAAAGTTTTAATTAAAAAAAAAAAAATTTTTGTGTTTTAATTACAAAAAGTATAAAAATTGGGAGTGGAAAGACACGCTTTTGAAAAAAATTTTTTTTTTTTTTTAAAATGGCGTTTATTATGAAATTATCATCACGAATCCATCTTCAAAATTCTCACGGCATAAACATCATCATGATCCTCATTCCTTTTTTTTTTTTTTTTTTAAAATTTCAATAAGAAAAAACAAAAAGAGAGAGAGAGAAAGAAAAACCAACAAACAACCACAAACAAACATTTGACTATTTTTCTTTTTTTTTTCTAAATAAAATTATTACTTTGTATTAATAATAATAACATAACAAAACAAAACAAAATTACAATTTTTATAATATTATATATTATATCTTTGGGGAGTCATTCACCACACGTACATCCTTCTCCCCACCTCCCAACACACCCTACACCCCCTCACATCCCATCCTAACCTTTTTTTTTTTTTTTAATCAAATATTATGACTTTTAATTTAAAAAATTAAATTTAACAAGAAAAAAAGTAACGGAAAATTTCATGATAATAATAATAATAATAATAATAATAATTACAAAATAAAAAAAATAAATCAAAGGAAAGAAAAGAAAAAAAAGGCTTTTGCAAATATCAAAAACGTTGGTTTGAGTTAGAAAGGAAGGAAGGAAGGATGGATGGAGGGATGGATCCCCATTTGCAAGGAGGGGATCGAATTAAAAAAGTAAAAAAAAGATGAGGATTCAATAAGCAAACTAAAACGGAAATTCTTTAACAAAAAAAAAAAAGTAATAATAATAATAATAAAGAAAAAGCCCTGAAAGAATCCCGGTTTAGAAAACAATGAAACCGATTTGTTTCAAAAGCTCTCTTTGATTGCTCATCTATGAAATCCTTTTAATTAATTTACTGTTTTTGATATCCGCGAATTCTGCTCCTTTTTCTCCTCCTCCTCATCCTGTAAGAGACTTTTTTTTTTTGTTTCATCTGTTAAAATATATTTCCCTTTTTTCCCCTTTTTAAAATTATTATTATTATTATTATTATTATCTTGCGGTTTATATTTATTAATTTTTTAATTACGGGATAATAATATTTAATAATAAAAAGAATAAAAAAAAAAAAAAATGTTAGTCGGCAAAGGGTGTCATGACAGTGTGTCGGTGAATACCTACCTGACCCATCATCATAAAAAATCTCTCTCTCTCTCTCTCTTTCTCTCTCTTTCTATCTTCTTCCTTTTTTTTATATATTTAGATTACGTTTAGTTAAACTAAACTAAAGTTAAAAAAAAAAAGTTTCTTTTATAATTGACTTTGATGACAAGGCAAACGTACCTGAAAAAAATCCCCTTGAGACTTTTAAAATCGTCTTCAACACACACACACACACGCACATGCACGCACGCACGAACGCACACGCATACCTCTGATACTTTGAATTTGAAATAAAATTTTAATATTTTGCATTTTTATTTTGTTTTGTTTGTTATTTGACTTATGTGTGTTTGTTTGTTATAATCGGTCTTTTTCTTTTCTATTATCCAAAAACCTCCTCCTCCTCCTTCTCCTCCTTCTTCTTCTTATACTTCTACTTCTTTTTTTTTTTTTTTCGAGTTTGAAAATCATTTAAACAAGTATTTGTTTGATTTTTTACTACTGACAGAATAATGACTTCATTAAAAGAATTTTCCATTCAATTTTTTTAAAAAAAAGTTTCGATGACCAATTTGTTGTTGGGAAAATGCTCTATCATCATCATCATCATTCTCAAAAAAAAAAAAAAAAAGTAAAACATATTTGTGTTTTTTTACCTAAAGAAAAAAAAAACATTTAAAATAATTATAATAATTTTTTTTATTATTAATTGAAAAATAAAAAAAAAAGTTAAACAAAAACGGTATCGGTCTAAATAATAATAATAATAATTATTATTATTATTATTATTATTTTACGGGAAAAATATTTATTAACCGTTATTTTTCCTTCGTGCGTTGACAATGTTTTTTTTTTTAAATTTTATGTTTTTTTATGTTTTTATGTTTTTAATGGCTATGAAAATTTTAAAAAAAAAAAATTGTTAGCGCGAAAATAGTAATTTAAATTATTGACGGAAATTAACTTTGGTAATAATTTTTTATTATTATTATTATTTTAAAACGTTCGTCACGTTCATCACGTTCACATTTGATTTTTTTTTATCAATTTTAATCTATAATCGTTTAAAAAATCTTTTTTTTTTTTTACAAATAAATAAATAAATAAAAAGCAGAAGACGTCGTTATTAAAAAAAAAAATTTTTAAATCGTCGGTTAGTTTTTTTTTTTTTTTCGAGATGAACGTTAAACTATAATTGTGATCTTTGTAAAAGATGTTGTTGATGATGATGATGATGATGATGATGATGATGATGACTTGTTGAAGATGGTCAAAAGGATCTAAAAAAAAAAGTGACAAAGATATGCCTTAGTCATGACACTCGTCGTGTTTTTACAAGCCGACAGACATTTACGTTCGATCCACTTTAAAAAAAAATTTTTTTTGTTTCGTTTTCGGTAGATTTTTCAAAAAAAATCATTATTATTATTATTATTATTATTATTAGTCCTGTTGTTGTTGTTGTTGCTGTTGCTGCTTCCGCCATTAAAAATAAAAAAATAAAAAAACGAGTTATTGTTGTTGTTGTTGTTTCAAGTATCGTAATAGATTGTTATTAATAAAAAAAATTTAATTTTTTTTAATGTTTTCTTTACGTCATTCATCCCTTAAATTAGGGTGAAGGGAAAATAATCAACATATAATAAAATTGAGGCTTATTATTGATATCCCACGGTTTAAAAAAAAAATCCACGGGAACCCCTTGAAAGAAAAAAAAATTTTTTCAACCCTTCTCTTCGAAAACAAAACTACAAAAGCAAATGGACGCCATTGGTTGAATTATTAATGAATGAAGGGGAGGAGGGTGACACACACACAAACACAAAAAACTTTTCGTTGACAGGGAATCCCCCCGCCCCCTTTTCTTTTTTTACTCGGCGTCCTTTTTTTTTTTTTTTTAAGTAAAAAATTATAAATAATAATAATCATTTACTCAAAAAAAAGGAAGAAAATAGTAGCACGGAAAAAATTATAACGCGAGTATAATAATTTTAAGTGAATGAGTAAGTGATTGAATGAATGAATGAATGAATGAAAGAATGAATGAATGAAAGAGTTAAGTGTTAAAAAAAAAGTAAAGAAAGAAACTTTAGTCATTATTATTATTATTACATATTTTTTTTTATTTTATTTTGCCGAAAGCTAAATTTACTTTCTTGTTAGTTTTTGCTTTTTTTTTTTTTATCAACAAATGGATTTTTTTTTTTATTCATTTAACGGCTACAACAATGTTGCCAACATTAAAGGGATAAATGAAAATATTTATTTATTTATTAAATTGGTAAGCGTGACAGCCGACAGGGTCGGATAAATCGATCGATCGATCGATTTTATATTTTTTTTTCATTACAATTATTTTTTTTTTCGTCCGCCATTTTGTTTTACGTTGAAATGATAAACGTTTGATACCTAAATCAAAAAAAAAAAAAAAATTTTCTCTCTTTTACCCACCACAAAAATTAAAAACAAAATAATAATAATAATAATACTAAAATTTATTTTGCTAAAAATAATAATAAAAATTTAAAAATATGGGCTCGAACTCCACCCTCCAATTATATTGTCTAAAACTAAGATTTGACCCGGGATGGAAAAAAAAATAAAAAAACATTTTCCTCGGGGGGGTTAAAAACATCAAATTTACCGTTATTTTAATAGCCACCCTTACCTACAGACAGACAGAGGGGTGAATTGTTATTATTATTATTTTTTCCTTTTTTTTTCTCATCCTTTTTTTTTTTTTTCCTATTGGATTTTTGATTAATTGATGTCAAGACAAAAGAAAAACTGAAAATTATTATTTTTTTAAAAACGAATTTATTTATCAGGAGAGAGAGAAAGAAAGAGATAGATAGATAGAGAGAGAGAGAGGGATATAATAAAAATTGAATTCGTAAAAATCAAAATTTGAAATGGAAGACAAAAAAAAAAAATTAAACTTGTTGTTGTTGTTACCTTTTGTTGATTTTTTGCATTCATTTTTTTTTTTTTTTATGAACGAATAGCCCAAAGGTTTTTTTTTTTTATTTAATGAGTACTCGTTCGACAGGTTTGTTAATTATTTTCGTAAATTGCCTTCCTTCTACAAGCCGAAAAAAAAAAAAAAAAATTATCACCATCACAATTTTTTAAGTAATAAATATAATAATTAAGTAAACACCTATTTATTGCATGCATGTTCCATGTTAAAATTTTATTATTATTATTAATATAAAATAATGACGTGGAAAAAAACCCGAAAATTTTCTACCGAAAAAAAATAAAGAAAATTTTCCAGTTTTTTTTTTTTTTTAATTTTATATCGTGGAAAAACAAAAAAGGAAAAATTGTTTTCATTTATTTAAACAATATTTATTATTAACTTTTGTAAATCTCCGATTGTCATTTATCTTTATGAAAGTGAAAAAGAATCGTGTTGTTGAAATCCTTTGGGACTTTACAAAATCGATTTTCTCTTTTTTCTTCCCCCAAAAGATCTCCCCGAGGCGACAAAACGAAAAAAAACCCCCAATCGAAGTGTTTTCCTTTCCTATATAACATCATTTTACCGCGTTTTTTTTTCCTTTGTCACATTCTAATGTTTGCCCTTCAAGACACGTCCTGGTACCGCCGTGGAAAGCAACCAAGGATCCTATACACTTTGGTATATCTTAAAACCATCGTTTTCCGCTTTGATTTCTTTTTATGTTCTCGGTTTCGAGTCCTTGTAAACGATTCTGCATGATT